TTCTTGGGGTATGCTGATGGTGTAAAGGGGTATCGCTTGTGGGATCCCACTGCCCGCAAAGTGCTCATTAGCAGGGATGTTATCTTTGTAGAAGATAAGCTACAAAGAAAAAAAGAAAATGGTAGTGCTGAAAAGTCAAAGACTACACATATACATGTGGAAAAGGAGTTTGAACAAGGATATTCTTCTGAAGCATAACCAGCACATGATGAACAATAACCAGAGAGTTTTGAAGCTCCAAGAACTCGTCAATCAGATCGTGTGAGAAGATGTCCCAATTGGCACTCAGATTATGTTATAGAAGGTAATATTGTATACTTCCTTTTAACATACCAGGAGGCAATAAACAGCTCAGATGTTTCACTATGGATGATGGTGATGCAAGAAGAAATCGAAGTCCTTCATAAAAATAATACATGGGACCTTGTGTCACTACCACAAGGAATGAAGCCAATTGGTAACAAATGGTCTTCAAAATCAAGCGAAATGGTGACGATCAAGTTAAGATGTATCGTGCAAGACTGGTGGTCAAAGGATATGCTCAAAAAGAAGGTATTGATTTCAATAAAATATTTTCTCTTGTGGTTCGACTAACAACAGTTCGAGTTGTTTTGGCAATGTATGATGCATTAAACTTATATCTAGAGCAGCTAGATGTTAAAACAACTTTTTTTCATGGAAATCTTGAAGAATATATTTACATGCTCCAGCCTGAAGGTTTTGAAGAAAAAGAAAAGAAGAACTTGGTTTGCATGTTGAACAAATCTTTGTACGGTCTAAAGCAGGCGCCGAGGTGTTGGTATAAGAGATTTGATTCCTTCATTATGTGTCTTGGATACAACAGACTTAATGCATACCCTTGCCTTTATTTCAAGAGGTATGGTGATAACGATTTTGTTATATTGCTGTTGTATGTGGATGACATGTTGGTTGGAGGACCCAACAAAGATCATATTGACGAATTGAAGGCACAACTACCTACGGAATTTGAAATGAAGGACTTGGGATCAACAAACAAGATTCTAGGGATGCAAATTCTCCGAGACAGAAGTAATAGGAAGATTTGGCTTTCACAAAAGAATTACTTTAAGAAAATCTTGTCATGATTCAGTATGCAAGATTGTAAGCCAATTTCTACCCATATTCCTATTAACTTCAAATTATCCTCCAATATGAGTCCTAGCAGTGAAGAAGAGATGATGGAGATGTCTCGAGTGTCGTATGCATCGGCAGTGGGAAGTTTAATGTTCGCTATGATATGCACAAGACCAGACATTGCACAAACTGTGGGAGTGGTTAGTCGGTACATGGCGAATCCAGGCAAAGAGCATTGGAATACAGTAAATAGGATCATAAGATACATCAAAGGGACCTAAAATGTTGCATTATGTTACGGAAGATCAAATTTACTAATCAATGGGTATGTTGATTCTGACTATGCAGGGGATTTGGATAAAAGCAAATCTACAACAGGATATGCGTTTAAAATTGTTGGTGGAGCTGTAAACTGGGTTTTAAAATTGCAGTCAATTGTGGCTACATTCACAACAGATGCAGAATATGTAGCAGCTACACAAGCCAGTAAAGAAACGATTTTGTTGAAGATGCTATTGGAGGAGCTTGGGCACAATCAAGAGTATGTCTCTCTATTTTGTGACAGTCAAAGCGCCTTGCATCTAGCAAGGAATCCAGCATTTCATTCAAGGACAAAGAACATACGAGTTCAATACCATTTCATTCGTGAAAATGTGGAAGAATGGTCGGTAAATATGCAGAAGATCCATACCAAAGACAACATAGTAGATTTCATGACGAAGGCGATCAACGCTGATAAATTTACCTGGTGTCGATCCTCCTGTAGCTTGTCAGAGACGTAAGCAACATGAAGGTACAAGGTAGAAAGAATGGTGTGAAGATATGATTGTTCCAATCAAATCTTCAATATCTTCAAGTGGGAGATTGTTGAAATTGTGGTGCACCGAATGTTGAATTTAAGGTGCAACGAATTTACAAGTGGTCAAGTTGCAGAAATTGTTGAAATTAGTGGCATCATTTGTTGAAAAAGTTAATGGAATAATCACAATTTAGTCATTATACTTTAGAGTATTTATAAGATTAGTCCTTAAGCTTCAACTATAAATACCCTAGCTCATTTAGCTTCATAATCATCCCAAATCATTCTAGCTTTCTCCCAATACTAGAGAATTTAGAGAGTTTCTTGAGAGTTGTTTTCTCCTTTTTATCAAGAGAGAATTATCATTGTTTTCTCCTTGGTAGATCGAGAGAAGTTGTAATTCCTATTTTCTCATAGTGAAATTCTTCTACCGTTGCCCATGGTTTTTACCTTATATTATTTAGGGGTTTTCCACGTAAATTTTGTATCTCTTTTATCTTCATTTTTATTTTCTCAAATTATCAGTTACGATTTTACTCTATCCAATAGTTGTCTTCCACAGCATTATATGTGTTACGTTTATATTTACCAATCAATGCGATTGTATTAATCTTGCCGAGAAAAAAATGATTGTATTATCCTTTATAGAAAAGGACATTAATATATCCGTATAAGATATTATGAAACATTCCCCAAAATAATATGTTGACGAACTTCATAAACGCGTCGGCGTCACTTGACAAGTGCATGGCTTTCCAGTTATTTTTCCTTGGGAATAATTTTGCTGACGTGGCTTTCAAGTGATTCTAGAAACAATTGACTCCACCCTTATGAGATTATTTAAAATAATCTAGTTTTTTATGGGCAGTTCTAGAGTAAATAATTTAGAAAAATGAAAAAGAAAATATTATAGAATTACATAATTTGTTATGAAGATTATACAAAACTATTACTGAAGTTGAAAACGTTTTGTGTGATTGAAAATCTTGTTTAATTTCAACTCGACATAATTTCAGAACTTTGATAGAGTTCTACTCAAGAAAAAAAAACAAGAAAGAAGAAAAGGAAAGGATGGAATGATTGGCGAGGAAGTACATGGAATGTGTGTTTGGTGTGGAAGTGCACAGAATAGGGTTTGGACTTTGCGAAGGTGACGGAGTCAGAGTGAAATTTTTGCAAATGGAGATGGAAGTCGACGCGTAATAACAAAACAGAAAGAGATTGAATGAGTACGTGGCGGCTGCCGCAAAGTTTGACTGCAATACCCGATACGACAGCTATGTTGGAGGACTCGCCTGAGAGAGAGAGCTCTGCCCAGTCTTGGACGCTAATTTATCACATCGATACGCCCATTCCGATGTTTCATTTTATCATTACCAATGATAATAATAATGATGATAATATTCGAATCACTAATCTAATCGTTTTAATTAATTATCATATTACAATTATTACTTATCTATGTTATGAAAATTAATGGATATTTAGAAATAACTTTAATTATTCTTTGATGTCCTGGGTTCTGGTATTAGAAATGTTAGAAGTGTAAGCGTTTAATGTCAAGTGATTAAGAGTTATTTTTGAATAAATACTATTTTATACTTACCCATATTAATTTGAGGTTGTTCTTCCGATGGTAGGTACTCTCTTAAGTCGTTTTGTTTGAAGGTGGCTGCTGTAGGTAAAGTGGAAGAATCTATTTGGAAACCTGTTTGGTGCAATTTTGTCCCTCCAAAAGTTTCGGGTTTCGGGTTTCGTTTGGAAAGCACTGCATCAAAGACTGCCGGTTGCTTCAGAGTTGGAGAAACGAGGTGTTAGCTGTGCTGATAATTTTAATTGTTCTTTCTGCAATTGTGTGCCTGAAACTATTAATCATGTTCTATGTCATTGTGATTTTGCCTAGAAAGTTTGGCAAAAATGGTGCTCTGAGTGGAATGTTAGTATCGTATTTCCATTGAATGTGAAAGAATTACTGCAGGTATGGGGTTCTCAGAGAGTTAGAAAGAAATTTCGTGATTTATGGAAGATCGGGTTCTTTGGATTGATATGGCAAATATGGTTGGTCAGAAACAAAATTAGGTTTGAGGGTAGAATTTTTTTGGTTGATCAGATGTTCCGTTTAGCTTTATTTCAGATTGGTGTATGGGCAAAGTCGAATTGGCCTATGCTGCTCCCTAGTATCCAAGATTTTGTTCGTAGTCCTGAAGCTTTTGTGCGTGGCTGGTTCTGGCAGGTTATCGCATATGTGGTTAGGTTCTTCTGGTTTTTATGATGTTGTCTTCCTTTTCTCCAGTATCCTTTGGGGTGCCAGCTGCTTTGTATTTTACAGTGGTCGTGGGTGTCGTTTTAGCAGCTTTGGTATTGCGTTGTGATAGTTGGTTTTGTATTGAAATTATATTGAATCTTCATCGTGTTCTTCGAACACCACCACTTCAAGGTATACTCTTTTCCCTCCAATCTAGGTTATAGGGAGATTTTTTAATGAGATCCTTGTTGTGGTGTATTTTGTACCCTTTCTAATACAAAGTACCAATTTTTTTTAAAAAAAAAAAGAAAAAAATGAGTCTCCTTTCCTTCACATTAAACAAACGATCTCACGGGTAAAAGATTTCATTGTGAAATAGTAAAAGTTTTTGAATAAAAATTACCTTATGTATCCTAGATTTATAAAATAAATTAAAATATATCATCCAATTTACTAATTTTATTTTATTCATAAAAAACTTAGTGTAAATGTAATTAAAACTTTATATTATATTATTAAGATTCAAACTTTATATTATATTTGACTGGTTGATCAAGTTATTCATCTATATTCCTTCATATTTTCTTAGGTTGAAGATTTTAGACCTACTAGGAGCACTCTCCTTCATTCTCCTATGATCTCTCTTCCCTCCATCTAAGTAGAATTAAAATTAAATTTAGAATTTGTGATAAAAAAATTCCGGATTCTCATCCCCTAGAATTTATCCCCCACGGGTTTCTTGCATGCAAAGAAGCTAAAGTTAATGCACACTTCGTTCGTAGTATCTTAAAGAATATTTTTCACTTCTAAAATAAAAAGAGTTGATAAGGAAACTAAATGCAAGCAAAAAGAAGAAGAAGAAGACATCCAGAAGATCATTTTGATCAGTTCAATGTCTCCAAAATTAAGAAGCAAACCTGCAATCAATTATACTATTTTATTGAGTAGTAATAATCATAATTCTCGCCCTTGTCTTTAGCAGAATCCGAACTCGGAGATGAGCCACCGAACTCCAATTCGTCTTGTTGTAGTTGCTGTCGAGATGTTGACATTGTAGAAGATGAAGATAGGGTTGTGGATAATGAAGTAAATGTTGTGCTGACAGCTCCACCATATTCACCACCTGATAAACCATAGTTAAAACCATTGCTTCCGGAGCCAAGAAGCTGTGGCTGTGCGTACTGATCAGAAAATGGTGGTGGTGGAGGAAGTAAAGATAGCGGCAGCGGCTCTGGTTCGACTTCGTGGCTAGTTGTGAGACAACCGGATTCGGGTTTCCGACGAACTCTTTCGGGGAAGTTAAGCTTGGCTTTGCTTCCTTTAAACCTAAGAGCAGCTTCGTCGTAGGCTAAGGCGGCCGCTTCGGCGGTTGCGAAGGTTCCGAGCCAGACGCGAGAAGCCTTGTTCGGATCTCTTATTTCAGCCGCCCATTTGCCCCATGGCCTTTTCCTAACACCTCTATACTGCATTCCCCTCACCTTCCCTTCAAATACAATAATAATAGCAATTTTTAAAGCTAAATTAATATATCATCCAAGTCCATTTCTGAAATCATTACGAGAGAGAGACGGTCCAATTAGGGTTTTCCACCACTATTCAATTGCAATCAAATTAACCCAGAAACAGTTATACCTTGAGGTTGAGCTTGTTGATGCTGAGATTGATCTTGATCATATCGATCAAGTTCAAGAAGCAGTGGATTGTTATCGTTGGCAATAACTTGAGTTAGGGCTTGAACCATGGCACTGGTCTCTTGTTGACACCTAGCCGCGTAGAACTGATGGTCGGCGGCTTCCTCTTTCGCTTCCGATTCATGATCGGACGGAAGCGGCCTCTTCCCTTGTCGTCGATCCACCTTTTGAGTCTTCCGAGATTCCTCTTAGTTTATCTGTAATTTTCTCTCATGCAAAACCGAAAACAAAGAAAGCAAATATTATATATTGGATGTAGTTCCCCCCCCCCCTCAACATGAAGCAAAGTAATCGACATGGGAATAAATAATTACTAGAAGAGAAAACGAAGGGAAAAAGGAGAAGAAATAGTTACAGGTAAAACAAGAATTGCTACAGCCAACACAAGAGAGATACGAAGAGTGGAGAAACGTCTGCTTACGACCAAGTGTGAAAGAAGGATGAAGATAGCTGAAAATGCTGAAAACCCTATCCTCTCTCTATATAAAACAAATATATATACTATTATTTTTTATTTAATTTATTGTCTTATTATATATATATAATATTTAAAAAATGAAGTAAATTGTGTAAAAATCAATAACATGTATTATATTACATAATAATATTGAGAGAGACGTAATATTAATTAAATGTTTTTATTATAGTTTTCCCATGATCAAACAATTGTTTTTATTGAAACTATTAGTAAATGTTAATGTAATTTTAATACTCAACGTAATGTTAAAATTAGCCTCAATATTTTTTTCAAATCATCATTTTAGTCTTAATTCTTTTTTAGAGTAGCCTCTAACGTTTTAATTTTTTTATCAAAATGATCCTTACTATATGAAAATTATTAGTTAGCTAACGATCAACGCATGTTGCTGATATGATATTTTCGTACGTGTTTAATTATCGACGTGTCACACGTTATGACATTACATTGGATCACGTGGCATGTGTCACATCATCATCTTAGGTGATATGGCATGACATGTTAGTAATTTAACACATATGAATATGTTACATTAACAACATGTGTTGATTGTTAGTCAACTAACGATTTTCATCTAGTATGAATCATTTTGATCAAAAATTAAAACATTGTGATTAAAATACTTTGAAAAATAAGAACCATAATAATCATTCGAACAATTATTATAGACTATAATTTTGACATTATAGCTTTATTTTCAAAACATGCTTTTACCTTTTTAAGAAGACAAAATTATATTTATTTTATATTTATAAATAACAAAAAAATAAGTATTGAAAAAAACATATAGAATAAAATATTAATTTTAAAATTTCTAGTTTGCATTAAGAATGTTTATTCAATTTTATTTTCTCTCAAACGGGTTGGCTTTTATGTATTAGGTCGTCATTTTAAGTGACATAATTCATGTCACATTATTATTTTGAATGATATTATTTAAGTTAAGTTATCATTAATTTTGAATGATATTATTTAAGTTAAGTTATCATTTTAGGTGATGTGGTATATGATAAATTAATAATTTAATGCATATAAAAAATCATGTCAACATATATTGCTCGTCATTAATTAACTAATAATTTTCATCTAATAATAATCAATCTGATCAATCTGATCAGAAATTGAAATCTTGAAGATTAAAAAGCTCTACAAAAGGAATGAGTCAAAACAAATGTTCAATTTAATGTTGGGAATGAATTTTGAAATTGTACATTTATTTTTTAAAATGCTTTTTTTAAATTATTTATTTTATATTTATAAACGCCAAAAAAATAAATATTGAAAAGCGTTATTTCATTTTTAGAAAATATTATTTCTAAAATTTCTAGTCTGAATTAAGAATGCTTATTCAATTTTATTTTCTCCAAATGGGATTGACTATGAATTGACTTGAAATACCAGGACAAAAGATGTGCTGGTTTGTATTATTTGCACATTCAGCCCAACCGATGCCCACTTCTTCGTCAAAGTCTCCTCTTTATAGTTCAATTACGTTTCCCACTTTTCCTTTTCGTTTTTTATTAAGTTAAAATGATTAATAATATTTATTTTAAATATTCTTAATTATTTGATAATTAAAGCTTAATCACCTTACTGTAGTCATTGGTGTTGAAATCTGTGACATCTAACACTAATAATGATTCTTTTAATTACTGAGGTAAGTTGATTTTAGTTATTTTTTTTGGTAAACTACATTTTTAGTACTTAAAATATCACTTTTGTTATATTTTAATACTTAAACTTTTAATTTTTTAAAATAATAAATAATGTTTAATTTTTATTTTATTTTATTTTATTAGCTATTTTTAACTTTTTTTTGTGTAGATACTTATTTTGGGTTGCTTTAGTTAATATAGTGGGTCCTATCCTACTGTACCCGATGACACATTGCGTTTACACGTTCAGTTTCTCGGTGTATTTTCTGAAAAATCACCGGTGATCGGTATATTTACTGATCTAACATCGGTCAGATTATATTTTCTGGTCTAACACCCGTAGCAGTAAAGCGCGCCCCTTGAACCACGCTAAATGTTGATTTGGCGCCACTTGAGGTATAGCGCGCCCCATGTACCGCGCTATACGCTGACATGGGTTACACGTGTGTATAGCGCGCCCCCTGATCCGCGCTATACGTCACGTTACACGTAGGGGTATAGCACGTATTAGGGGGGCGCTATACGCGACATAGGGGTGAATTATATTTAATGCGGTCCCTGGTCCGCGCTATATCTTTTAACTGAATAATTAAATATAGCGCGGTGCAGGTACTGCGCCTTATATGGTTATAAATACACTCCTTTACCGGTTAAATTTCTCACATCTCCTCGCATATCTCCTCTCAACTTATAAATTAATACAACAATTCCGTCAACGAGTAATAATTCTGGCAATCTTCTCATATTTGATTTAGAAGTTCGTGCGATTTTTTCGTTATAAAGTAATTTTGTTATAATTTTTTAATTATACTTATTGTTTATTATCATTATTTGAAAAAATATTATACTAATTATTTTCAATTAATGTTTATGTTTGTAAAATTGAAAAGCGGGAGCATACGTCGAAATAGTTTTGCAGTGCAGGTAATAATATAAAATTATATTATTTAAATTATTTTCGTTGATGTGTAAAAAATTTATTGTGTTATATTTTCGTTCATATATAATTTATTTAATCAGGTTTGTTTCAGTTATTTTTTTTTGCAGATATAATATGGCCGCACTTTTAAACTCAAAGAATGGCGCGACTTTCAACTATTGTTTATTATGATGGTGAAATTCGAGAAGATGAAACCGGCGTTGTTTTCGTATCAAATGAGCGTGTTAAAATATCATTCAAGAGAAACATAACTCTTGAGGAGCTGATAACGAATATTTCGAGGAAGATTCATGTTGGAAGTAGTAGAAGAATGTTGTCGTTGCAGTACAAATTTCCAACATCATTGTTGCCATTAACTTATACAGTGTTCGAACTTTCAAACAATGATGATGTTCAAATGATGGTTGAAGCTCAAAGTAATTATTTAGACGCCGCTATTGAGATGTATGCACATTTTGTTCAAGTGCGTACTGTTCGAGGTCAATCATTAAGCTCCCACTATGGGCTGGCTGAACAAGTTGATCAAGTTGACAGCCCGAATACAGTAATGTGTAATGATTTTAATGCCATAATGGGGAGACATTCATCCGCAACTCCTTACGATATGTACCGAGGTGGGTCCATGAACAATCCGTATGGAAACACCGCGTCCAGTTCAAGGGGAAGACATTCATCTGCAAATTTCTTTGACCTTAATATGGAGATGTCATCAACGCAACAATCTATGCAGTTTCCATTTGACACGATGGCTTCAAGCTCCAGGGGGAGGCATTCAACTGCGAGCTTTTTCGATCTCAATGTCGATATGCCTTCTAGTTCAATGGGAAGACATACAAGTAGTAGGTTTTTCGACCTAAATGTGGAGCGCATGGAGGAACCATCATCTCCACCAGAAGAACCGCTTCGTGAGCCTGGTGCAGATGGTGCTGAGACCGGACTATTCATTCACCCAGAATCATCGCAATTCAACTCCGATGATGATGATGTAGATGAAGTTCCAGGAAAAGTGACACAAACTGACCCTCCTGCACACATGTATGAAGCTGATTATGGTGCAATATACGGGCCATAATTTACGGATATGCCTCATCTCGGTAACTATGGATATTACTCATCAATAAATAATGGTGAGTTATCTTTAGGCATGGAGTTTTCAAACAAAGAAGAAGTGATGATGGCTATCAAAAATTACAATATTCGTAATTCTGTTCAGTCCAGAGTCAACCGATCGACGACCGAAAAATATGTATGCTACTGTGCCCGACGCGAAAACGGATGCAATTGGATGGTTCGCGTATCGAAAATGAAGAGGAAAAACAACATATGGAACTAACAGTATACAACGGTTCTCATACATGTTGTGCTGGAGGGGTCAACCAAGATCATCCCAACCTGGACTCTGAAATGATATGCCAAGCCATCATGCCCATGGTAAAAGCAAGCTCTCATATAGTTGTTATAGTGTTGATTTCAGCTATACAATCGCAGTATAGGTACACTGTCTCCTATAAAAAGCTTGGTTGGCAAAACAAAATGCCATTGTCAAACTTCATGGCGAATAAGATGCATCTTACAACGAACTTCCAGGTTGGTTTAGGCTGGTGCGGACGTTGAATCCTGGGAAAATTGTTGACTTCGAAACCTCTTATGCATACCATAATGATCGAGTTCTTCGCGATCGAAGCCAATCCTACCGGGTTTTTTGGAGTTACCCACAGTGCATTAATGCTGCCAAATACTGCAAGCCTGTGGTCCAGATCGACGAGACTTTTTTGTATAGAAAATACTGCAATGTAGTCTTTGGGTCCAATATGGCAACCACCTTTTGTCCAACATAGGTATTATCTCCGACACATTGCTGCGAACTATCATGGAAGGTACAAGAAGAATGATGAGCGTCAATTAATTGTGCGCATGGGTAAGTGAAAGCAAGTTAGTAAGTTATACATTTTTTATCATTTTAATTTTGCAAAGAAAGCAAGTTAGTAAGTTATACATTTTTTGATCAGGTTACGAACTACTTCCTCGAACGTTTGAATCAATGCTTCAAGATTTGCGGGCGAAGAACGAGGAAGGATACGATTACATCAG